CTTTTGGCATGTACAGTCAGAGAAAGTTTGCTTGATAAAATACTTTATTCAGAATTTTGGCCTTGAGAAAATAGGTGTCTGGGAGCCAAGGAGGCACGTAGAAGACCTGTGGCGGGGGGTGGGGAGGTGGCCATCCACCCCTCCAATCCTGACCTTCGTGGGTCAAGAATAATGGTGGTGATGATAAGATGGTGATAAAGATGAAGATAGAGGCAATAACAGGGTGCTGCTGCTACACATCTGTTGAGCACTTCCCGTTTGCTAAGTAGCATACATGCACTTCTCATTCATTCCCCATTGAGACCCATTCTACAGATGAACAAACTGGGGCATGAAGAGATTCGTTTCGTCCCCCAGTTTACACAGCTGTCCAAGTGCAGAGCTGGGATGTTTACACAGATCTGACTCCCTCCAGAGTTCATAGCAGCATTGACTACCAAGTTGTCCTGTTAAGATGTCTGCAAAACTAAGACAATTGCTCAGTACAAACACTATTAGGACTTTCCGAGTTACCCACAGGATGTAAGGTTCTAAGGGCAGGAACCAAATGAAAACTCTCCTCTGCTCCCTACCCCCAAGGAATTCCAGCATAAACACTCTGCATCCCACAAACAGATGCATCCTTGTCATTTGCAAATTTCCTATTCCTGATTTGGGTTGTTGACTGGCAGCCCCTGAGTCCCAAGGTCTGTAATCAGGAGTTCTGCTGAGTCACACATTTAACTCCCAGGCCCTGCAAGGCCAGGGTGGAAGACAAGACCACTGAGTGGGCATGAACAAGAACCTGGTTCAGGGCCCCTCCGGCTCCTATTTCTTGTCCTCTTCTCTTCAGGTACAAGGAGAACTGGAAAGTGATGGAGAGTTTGCTCCCTTTTTGCAAATGCCCCAAGAAGGAAGCCCGGAGCTTGTCCTATGGCGATGTTCATAACTCTCGGCCTCGTGCCTATGTCACAACTCAGCCCTCCTAGGGTCTTCTGCATTCTGCTAATCTTTGCTTATGACAATAGTAATATGCTTAGATTCCTGCTCCTCTCCAACTGCCCCCAGGCACAGAAAGCTGCCACACATCTCTTATCCCTCCCTGCCCTCCAATCCCAGCCCTAAGTTCCCCAGTCCTCACTGATTTCACTGTGGTGAGCATCACATCCACCCCATCACATATGTTCACATGAGCCACAAGCTGCTCAAGGGCAGGCCTGGTCCCAGTCGTCTTTGTTTCCCCAGTACCTAACACATCAAGGTGCCATGGGAAATGGTTCGTTGAATAGATACACACATTAATACTTAGTGAATTACAAGTGAAAATAACACTTAACTCTACACGTCCGCTGTGATTTGACTGTGAAGAAAACTGAAGGCCAGAGAGGGTAAGTGACTTGCCCAAGTTCACACAGTCCCTGAATCCCTTACTCCTGGTTAAGAGTTGTTATGCAAAGCATCAAGCCTGATCCCCAGAATACAGAAGAGACTCAACCCACTCTAATCTCCCCACCTCTGCCCCTTTGCCTGAGTGGTTTGGCAACAGAGCTGAGGCTAATTCCCTCTTTCACTGTTACTCCTACATTTAAGGAATTTGCATAAAGAACATGTCTTTTAGGGTGACCAACCCACCCGCAAACTGAAGTCAATCCTCAGGGCTTATGTTTTATTACCACAAGCGGACATCCAAGCCATGCCTAAGACATCAGCAACTGAAGAAAATCAGTGACTATAGGATCAGTTCCCTCCAGCACACCTCCACAGGTGGGAAACTCCGTCCCATTTTCAGATAACACTAATCTTGACATTTCTCCAACTCATTCTGCCTCCCCACTCCCCTCCTGGGTCCCGGTGAAGCCTCTGAGACTTCAGAGAACCCACTCAAACCCTCTGCCCACATAGCTCCCCCAAACTTGAAAACAATCCCCTTCCCGACAGCCATAGTCCTACAGAACCTCGTATTCTTCCTGTTGTATCAGCAGTACTCTGGCTGGAAATGCTTAGTTTGGTGGAGAGGAGACATGTTTATGTTCTTTATTCGTCTCCCAGGTTGGACTCGGAACCCTCACTTTATGTCAAGGCCATGTCTCTTTTCAGTTTCAGGTTCCCTGGGGCCGAGGTCTCTGCCTTCCGCTTAATGAAGTCCATATAGCATCCAAGTCTCCGTGGGGCCCAGGGCAGAGCTGGACCCAGCCCCTGGGCACAGGCTGGCGAGCAGAGGAGCAGCATCTCAGCTGGGAGGCAGGCCGCCTCCCCCTGTGCCATCCAGACTTTGCAAATCACCCTGATAACTCTCTCCATCCAGGAGCCACGTCTTTACTGGGGGAAGGGAGTTTTAAATTGGTAGCTTCTGAACATAACAAGCTCAAGACCAGACAAAAGCTGTGCAACAGCCCCCGTGGGAACCAGTGGTTTTATGAGCCCGTCATATTTACTATTATCCAATGAGTCATCGGCGGCGTGTTTTCATTTTGAGGCTGCTGGACAAATAGGCTCTCATTGGAGCCACTCTTAATCCATTATTTACGCCTGCTCCTTGTCCTCTCCAGAGCAGCTTTGCAGACAGGAAATTCACTCTTCATCCACCAGCCACGCTCACCAGCCTCGTGCACATCCTTCATTTCAAGCACAGCCCGTGGTGTTTAAAAATAGCAAACTAGGCAAACACTCTGATTATGAAATTTCTAGCTGATATTTCCCTTGCCTTTCATTAGGGAGAAAACGAGCATGAAGTGAACCCACAAGGCCAATGGGTAGAAATGAAGAGCGCTGTGTTTATGACTTCTGCTCAGAACTGCTTCTCAGGAAGCTTCTGTTGGTACTGGAATGAGTGGGACTGACAGTCTGAATCCAGCAGTTGTGCCTAAAGATGGCTTCACTAAAGCCCAGGAAGGAGGAACAAATAGCTAATTAGTAAATTGGCCTCAGGTTCGCACTTATAAGAACAAATCACTTGTGAGTTTTCAGAATCAGACTATATGTTTTGTGCCAGGGGAAAGGAAATGTAAGGTTTATGAAATTTAAAGTGACTCATTGAATCCAAATTTGCTTTCTGCTATTGGCCACCAATGACCCGTCATCTTGGCTAAACAAGTAAACACTTTATTTTCGAAGCAGGAGGACAGCTGGTGTCTTGCTGTCCTGCTGCTGCCTGCATTGCCACTCAGAGGGCTGTGTCACTGGGACCAGGCAGAAGTCTGGAGGGGGCGACTCGGAGACCCCTCGTGAGCAGCTGTAAGGGACTGGAGGGCGACTGAGTGACGGGTGGAACTGTGAGTGGCGGGCTGGTAACCAGAAAAGGATCAGGGGGCAGGGCTGCAGATGGCAAGAAGGAAACACATTCTAGGTCCAACTGGATTCTCCTTGGAGCTTGAATCTGGACCAAAGCGACAAAAAGACTAAAAGTCATTGGCACTTACTTGCACCAGCAGCGGAAGCAGCAATGGCAGCCTTTTAAGATCTGTCCTTTTATCAATTCTTCCTGTTTCTGAGACCCACATGTGACTTCATATGTCGTTCTGGTTCCAGGCCCTCTGGGCTGGCTCTCCAGCCTGCCCTTCAATTCCATGAGCTCAGCTCCATCTTTACGATAAACTCCTTGTGTTGATATTAGCCAAAGTGCTTTCTGTTACTTGTACCCAAAACTTCCTAGCAGATAAGAGCTGAAAAATGAAAGCAAGAGAGGAACACACACCTAAATCAAAGGCCCAGTAGTCCTGGGGGAGGGTCAAATCAGAGAAGGAGACGCCAGCCCAGGGCCCAAGGCATGTGAAGTCAGAAGGAACACTCCAGAGACAGGTTACAGCAGGCCTGGAAGCCCAGACATCATTCTATTGGCAGTTGATACTATTGCCAACATTTTAGACCCATGGGTGGTAAACTGTGAGTCACTCCCAGCCTTGAGTCTGAAAGGTGCCAGATGCAATGTGACAGCTCTTAATCTTCAAAGCCCTTATTCTAATTTTGACCAATGGTGGGAGGTCAGGTTAGGAAGGTAAATATGCTTTCTGCCTAGGATGATTTGAGTTCACTGGAAGACAGCAGGGCGTTGGATTTGAATTATGTATTTATTCATTAAACAAACATTGATTGAGCTCCTATTCTCTGCCGCTATGTGCTCTGGGCACTGGGGACATTAAGGTGACTAAGTCATAGGCCCTGCTTTTGAGCTTGAGTAAGGATGGTATGCAAACGGCACTGCATGGTACTGCATGATACATGCCAGGAGACCGGAGCACATGCGCAGTTCAGAAGAGAGGGATCCTTTGAATTGAGGGGAACAGGGAAGATGATGGGAGAAGCTGACCTTGGAACTGCTCCTTGAAGGAGAGGGAAGGTCTCACTAAGAGCGATTCCAGACACAGGGGCACACACAGAATTTGGCTAGGGTATCCTCAGTGCTGCGGGGGAAGTAGGCTGACATTAGATTGTGGAAGGCCAGGCTGGGAAGTCTGGATTTTACCTACACTCAATGAGGAGCCAGTAAGGACTTAGAGCCACAGAAGAACAAGATCAAAGCAGTGACCTGCAGAGAATCTCCTGGCAGCAACCTGAAGAGCAGATAGGAAATGGGGGAGAATCTAAGCATAGGTCAAACGGCTTGGAGAATACTGCCATGTTCCAAGCAGGCCCCTTCACCTGAGTCTAAGAGTGGAAATACAGAGGAAGACAGAAAGGAAATTTCCTGACAGTGGAAAAGTCAAGAGATGTGGCACTGGAGAGCAGGCAGGTATGGAGGGAGAAGGTGACCCAAGGGGGTCCACAGGGTTTGGATCAAAATAACTGCTCAGTTCCATTAAAAGAACACCCATTTCCTGATCACCTACTCTGTGCAGAGAAGGGGTTAGGGATGGGGAGGAGGTGCTGAGGCATTAGTGTGGAGAGGAAAAGATGGAGAAGACCCAGGTCCCGGAGGACCTGTGATTCCATGCTGATGAGCTGGACTGCTTCTGTAAGACTGGTGACTATCACAATGTGCTCTGTGAACCTGAATCTCCCTTTAGCAGCAGCGAGGGGACACGATGCCTCTCAGCACTCCACTGCCAGCTGACTTGAATGAAGTCTTAGGGGTAAGAAGAGAGAATTGCAACCCAGAGGGAAATGTATGACTGTTACTAGAAGTGGCTATGCCTTAAACCTCTTAAGCCTTAAAAAGTCAGTTCTTAGGTAATGTAAACCCAATCCCAAACCAAGGCCTTCATTGGAGTGGTTTCTGGCCTGGCTTCTAGACCACCTCCATCCTCTATCCCAGGATTAATTTCATCCCAAGACACTGGGGTGGTTTCTGGCCTGGTTTCTAGAACGCCTCCATCCTCTATCCCAGGATTAATTTCATCCCAAGACACTCGATAGTGCCAAGCTATATTTGTTTCAGAGCAAAAAAAAACCTATCAGGGTTTAGTCCAGGTAAGACATTCATAAGAGTACACAGTCCAGTGTCCCAAATCAAGACCACATAGCATCCTTCATGAAGGGCCAGCAACCAAGTCAAAGCTGAGCTGTGCCAAGCCCAGGTGCTCCCTTCCATGATCTCCACCGTGAACGGTCAAGGTCAGGACTATGTGTCCCTTTGGCACAGTTTTTGCTTCCTGTCTCCTGAGAGCAAACGCTCAGGCAAGGACAGACAGACAGATACACACACATACACATATACACTCCACATACACACAGAAACAACACCAAACACATCCCTGCGTGTTTAGCCCCTCGGTTATGTCTGACTCTTTGCAACCCCATGGACTGTAGGCCCCCAGGCTCCTCCATGCATGGAATTCTCTAGACAAGAATACTGGAGTGGGTATCCATTCCCTTCTCCAGGGGATCTTCCTGACCCTAGGATCAAACCCCAGTCTCCTGCATTGCAGGCATATTCTTCACCATTTGAGCCACCAGGGAAGTCCCATACATCCCTAGAAGAAATAATAATTCACAGGTGGGGAACACAGTCTCTCCACATTTAGAGAGAATGGTTTTCTTTAACTCCAGAGGGAAGCAGTTCAGTCCTTTATACTCAACAGAGTACAAAACTGAACATTTAATACCAGCTCGAAACAATCTGCAACTGGGGCTTCCGGGAGAACCCTGAGTGCATGTGCCCTTGGCTTGCAGCTGCCCCTCCCAGACTCTGTAGGTGACAGAGCTACTTAGAGTCTCTAAAGTGGTGGCCCTTCTAGCTCAGAAGGGTTTCCATGCAGTCCCCATCGGTCACTGTGTAACAGAAGATAAATATGCTGAGCCTCCGATAACGTGCATAAACCAAAATGTCCAACACCCAAAGCCAGGCTGGGATTCAAGTTCAAGTCCACCTGAGCAGCCAACTGAGCTCAACCAGTGAGTGTTTGGCCTTTCCTGTGAGGTGCTGATTGGTACATGATGAGTTGTTGAACACTGAAGGTGACCTTTGGTGGGCAAGATGTATCTAACGTGATATGGTCAGTCAGCTATGAGATTAAATGGATAGAAACATGATTCTGCCTTGCACTTGGGACTTGGTGTCTAAGTCTTTCATATTCAGTATGTGTTCAACTCTGGGCCTGGTAACAGCTGGGCCTGGCTTCCTTGATCTTGTATGAGCCAGCCCAAATGAAATGGGCAAACTTATTCAGAATTAAGTCCCAACACCACTGTGATGACCCACATCAGAGACTCATATCAGCCCTGTCAGCATATTTCCCTTGGCTTTTCATTGAGGAGAAATTAAAAACTGAGATCTTGAATAGAAATAGGATTCCCTCTCCCCATCTCAAAAAAAATTGTGAAAGAAAAGAGAAGCAATCATTTTTATTTCATTTTCTCCTATTATGGAGACAGTGAGAGGGGAAGACTCTGTGTTCTCATAAGTTCAGTTGATTAGCAGGATGATTTGTTTCATTTCCAGGCCATAAACTCACAGGGGCCCAAATAGGTCAAGTGACTTATCCAAGGTCACACAGCCTGCAGACCTAGAGTCCTGCTGCCTGTCATGCAATAAATGATTCTTGCCTGCTTTCCACTTCCTGCATCATTACCTTGAAAACCACACACACACATACATACATGTGAATGCTCACACACACATAGCCTCCCAGAACAAATTAGTTAGACTCTGGAGAGACTTGTCATAGCATCAGTCACAACATCATAGGTGGGAAGTTCTTAAAAGGTTGTTAGCAAACTCATGAATTCTGTAATGACTGCTCAATAATTCCCAGGGCTAAGGTGAGTCCTGAAACACATATTTTTCACTTGAAGAAGATTGAATTAAAACCATGTGTATGGTGCTGTTGACAAGCACTGCCCTTTTCTCTGAGAACATTTGCACTATGAAGAACCCATGGAGAGGGAAGACCAAGGTTCCCTGGGGAAGCAGACCTGGGGAAAACATCTGAATCAGGTGCTTAAAGGGTGAATGCGATCTCCGGTTCAGCACTAAGCCCCCACCATCCCCGGGACCACCACCATGGTTCTAGGTGGTCAGTAAGAAGTTCTGAGTATCCCTTGTGTGCAGGGCTCAGTCTTGCATAGTAAGAGAGAAAACAAAACGAGAAACATGCTGCCCACATGCAACAAACTCTGGTTTTAGTTGGGAGACACTGTCTCTGTTCTGGGAAACCTCCCAGGGAAGCTGGGAGGGTCCCTGCCCTTGGAAAGCTCTCAAATTCTTTGAAGACATATAAACTTCTGGAGCTCTTGGTTGTGTACAGAAGACAAGGACTGTGCCCTTGGGAAAAACCAACCCATGTGTAGGATGGAGGGAAGGGAAAAAGACTGAGTTTGTGCTTGGGATACCTCCAGACCAGTGGGGAGGATAGAGTTCCTGCTGTGATCAGGGAGGGACCTTTGGTCTCAGGGGGAGTCCCCACCCTAACAGGGAGTTTCATCCCGGTTTGGTACCCACACATTGTATACGTCTACAGTCCCTTGGACTGCAAGGAGATCCAACCAGTCCATCCTAAAGGAGATCAGTCCTGGGTGTTCATTGGAAGGACTGATGCTGAAACTGAAACTCCAATACTTTGGCCACCTCATGCGAAGAGTTGACTCATTGGAAAAGACCCTGATGCTGGGAGGGACTGGGGGCAGGAGGAGAAGGGGACGACAGAGGATGAGATGGCTGGATGGCATCACCAACTCGATGGACATGAGTTTGAGTAAACTCCGGGAGTTGGTGATGGACAGGGAGGCCTGGCGTGCTGCGATTCATGGGGTCACAAAGAGTCGGACATGACTGAGCGACTGAACTGAACTGAACCTTGAAGCATCTTGCCTGGAATAATCTCTTCTATGGCTGGCTATGACTATTAATGTTTCTCTTAAGAGTTCATAACCCAGCTTGGAACACCACATTTAGCCTCCATATCTCCTTCTGCATTTGGCACCTGATTTACCCCATGAAGACTTCATTTACCTGTCTGTGAAGAGGCCAGTCCCTGGATGGCCAGATGCTGAGGCCTCATTCACAGACACTCCACAAGCTCTTTCATCCAGAGCAAGTGGCCCAGGTGCCTGGTGAGTCCAAGAGATATTGGGCCATGGTGAATTTCTCATCAGTAATAGGGAAGATGGCCATCCAAACCAAGCTTCACAAGGCCCAGAGCAGACAAGGGGAGAAGTCAAGGGGATGATTGAAATCCACTTCTGCTTCTTCACAATTCTCTTTTATGTGACTCTTGCTTCCCATCAGCCTTGGGACCAGTGGTGACTTGAGTGAGAATCACAGAGGTTTCTGGATTTGAGCTCCACCTCGTTCCCTTCCTGGGCCCCAGGTCCCAGGTCCTGCCTTCCCCATAGTCCCAGGGGCCTGTTAACTACACATGACATGAGAGAGGCATGGGGATGGAGGGGGAACTAGCTCTGCCCCTCTGTCTCTCCAGCTCACGGCTCCTCCCAGCTCCCCTGTTGTTGCACCCACAGGCAGAATTGCACACACAACAGAATTGCACCTCTTTCCACCATCCTTGACTGGTTGCTTCTACTGAGCACAGTCATTTCCAGGGCCCATGCTCAGCTTCCGTGCCCACTTTCCCTAGGAACTTAGGACAAGGACCTCAAGGGTGATACCAAGAGCCCTTTGAGAAATGCACTCACTGGCCAGTGTCAAACCTGAACACAGCACCCACCCAGGGTCTTAGGGACTTGATTTTCTCCTATTTCAAGTTGAAGTCCCAACCTTCAAGGGACCTGGTAACCTCCTCCTGAACCTGAGGACATAGTGGAAATTTTCCCTTTTGTTTGAAAGTCTCAGTTCCAGTGCAGACACAACAGCTCCCATGTTCCATCATTTCTGAGAGGTGGTTTCCTGATTAGACCCCACATCATGACTACAATAGTTTATTTACTTTATTAAGAAATTTACTTTATTAAGAACTACTACCTGGAAAAAAAATCAATAAACAATTCAATAAGTCAGGCAATGTAGTCTCATCATCATGAGTTAAGGTTCATTTGAGGAAGAAAGCTCTTCTAACTTGTTGACTAATCTAAATTCTGAAATAGTTTTAAATAAATACTGATTTGTAGCACACAGACAAATTCTAACCATCTCTGTTACCACAATGCATCAGGGTCTTCCTGGGCCAACTCCCACTGTGAGCATACAATTGCATGTTGCTCTTTCAGACTCAAATGCACAGCAGTCACTGATTTGAACTGTGCTTTCTGAGTAGAGGGAGCAGGTTGAAGGTCTCTGGGGTTTCAGAAAGATGGACTAGAAGATGAAAAGACTGAACTTGGAGTCGGAGGAGGTGATGTCAAACTATGAAACTCCGAGGAAGGCATTTAATCTCTCAGTTTCTTCTTTGATAAAACGAGGGAAATGACAACTATATTTTGGATTACTCGAAGGTTTGTGAAAAGAGACATAAAAGAATCAAATCAAAAGAGACATCAGATGGAGCATAGCCAATCTTTCTCCTCCTGACAAAGTGTCTGTGATCATTGAAGTGATACATTCTGGGGAAGAAGAAGAAGGAGGAGAAGGAGTGGAAGAAGAGAGAAAGAGAAATCAGAGGAGGTCTACTTCTACCAACACTGAAAATATGAAGGAAGGAAAGGAGGGAGGGTGAGTGGAGTTAGCAAACCAGAAATTCTG